CGTGGCCTAAATCTTTCCCATAAGCTATTGAGGAGTTTTGTTTTTTTCCTGAGAAAAGGCATAGGTAAATAAAGGTGACTCCGTTCTTGACTCTTATTGCTGCGTGTTGACCTACATAAATCAGTTTCTCGGTCTTTCAGCCTCAGTTTCTTTCCTTTTATTTGCGTATGGCAAAAAAGACCGACGTTGCCATCGAGTGTTCAATTCTCAGGTGACGGGATAATTGCATACAATGCTATGCTGATTAAGTGCACCACTGCGTCAAGATCGCATTCATCCTCGAATATGGAGTACGTTTAGGGGTTGAAATGAAGTTTTGGGAAATGGTATGCTTCCATAGTCGTTAACGCTACGAAAACGGCAGCCAAATAAATCGGGTCCAACCGGGTCGCATGGACCTTAACACATTTCACCCATTGTGCCTTCACCCAGCTACTGCTCAAGATTTCAAGACGTTACTCGGGGATATCCCCGACCTCGCTTCTACTTTGTCTCATAAACAAATTGAAAGTCCCTAGCTGCAAATCTGCGGCAACCTTGGACCCTCAAAACACCGAAAGATGTCACTGTTATGGAGGGCCGGAACTCCGTCAAACGCTACAAAGGGTCGATTACGCAGTTACGAATTTCCGCGTTTCCAAGGACCATCCACACTAGACCAAATCAATCCTCCTTGATGGGTGCCAGTGAGGCTGAATAGAATGAGTTTTCCGTTACTATGCACACGATATCGAAAAAGAGTTCGGGTTATACAAGGAGAGTGAGCGTAAACCGCTCAACTATTTGTGACGATGAGACTTCTCCGAGTGACGATGCCGATGCCGATGCCGATGCTTATAATCTACAATTCAGAAGTACGATCAACAGCGGACAGGAATTCCGACTAAGCTATTCACAATCGCAGAACTCACCACTTTCGCACTTGCTGCACTTCGTTGGCTTCTTCCTTTTGGGTGATCTCGAGGATGCTGGGGAGGTAGATTCTTCCTGATCTGAGAGAAGGTATTCCATGCCCTGGCGTTCTGGTGTGGTTTCAACAAATTCCCGACTACCACTTCCTAGTGTGGGTTCTCTACGTCTCATCTGCTGTTGCCTATCACCGCCACCACCACCACCACGGTCACGAAACCTTGGTGGTGGTAGTGGTGAGATGTGTCGTCGTCGTCGTCGTTTGAGGAGGTGGTAGTGGTAATGCGTTTTCCCGCTTCTCCCGTCGGTATCGAAACCACTCCTTTGCCACTGATTGGCTGAAATCGACGTGGATACGTCGGTCGTCAATAACAACGTTATCCATTTTGAAGAAGGCCTCCTCGCAGTCCTCCTTCCGAGCGAATTCAATGAAGGCGTACTGCAGTGAATTGCCTGATCGTCGGTCATAGATCACCTCCGAGGAGAGAATTTCACCAAAGCGACTAAAAATGATTTCCAAGTCTTCGCCCCGAGTGACGGGATTGAGACGACACACGAAGAGCACATTTTCGGGAGGTTTGGCGTCCACGTCAGGTAGGTCACCGAGAAGGGTCAGTAGCTGGGCGTTTGTGCGTGCTTCCTTCATCGCCTCACGTTCTACTCGCTCAGCTTCTGTCAACTCTCTTCCATCCGCTTCACCATCTAGATCTTCATCTTCTTCAATCCGCGGAGGAGCCGTGCTGTCTGGGTCCTAAGGAGAATTAATACAAGTATCAATAAATGAGCGAACCTCGTAGGATCTAAAGAGTCTTGGAGAAGAGGAGGGAACCTCAAGACCATCCGGATCTGTGAATGGATCGTCCAGAATGATTGCTCGATGAATGCGAATATTGCGATAGGGACGCGACTCCTTGTCACAATAAGCATCGTTGATTTTCGACAGAAAATCCTCACCTTCTGCTACCTAAATATGCAATGTGCACGTAAAGAGATCATTTTATAGTTATCACACAATGCCAAAGACGCTGTGTTTGTTGTTGAGATAATCTAGATCATCAGCGAGGGTGATAAAGAATTGTGACCCATGTTGACCGTTGCCGTTATTGACCATGGAAACTAAGCCGCGTTTTTTGTGGTATATTTTGGGTAAAACTTCACACTCGAAAAATCGAGCTTGTTCTCCATAAAGCTGTTCAAAAATGGAGCTACCACCACGGCCGGTGCCTGAGGGGTCTCCCGTCTGAGCAACCAAGTTTCGCTGAACACTGTGAAACAAGCATCCATTGTAGTAGTTAACTTTGCACAATTTGAGAAAGTTAAGCGAGCATCTAGGCCGTTCTTCGGTATACAAATCAACCACAACATTTCCCAGGGACGTCTCCAACAGAACCGACATCCCGATGCAAGGTGCGGAACGATCCAATTGGAACTCAGATGCGAAGGTTGTACCTACCAAAAAAGGGGAAGATGATTATGAACAAAGTTGACGGTAGCCTTGAAGATCAAATAAGCTCAATACAGTTGTAGAGTAAAGTCCACAGAAAAATAAGACTACAGGCTGCATACACATGTGGCAGATTGTATTCGAAAATCGAACTTTCTTTTGCAGGGCAGTTTTTGTAAAATCGAATGAAAGATACTTTCACACGTTTTTACAAACTTACAACTACTGTGTAGAATATAGTGCTGTTGCTGACTTTGTTTTTTCTTTATAACGCATACAATGCGAACTGATAGGTAGAACTGCTGGTTTAACAAATCACACCTACAAATCGACAATTTTATGCACTATATGGTTTTAGAAAATTGCTCCCAGTTTTTGGCACTTTGTAATTTACGTTGATGTCAATAACACCTTAACACTTTCACTGTGAGGCAGGTACTTTGAATACGCTCACAGGGTTTTTAACTTACTGATTTGTTGGTTGTCATTGTGCCTCCTTCTCATTGGTGTACTAATAGGTGCCTCTCGGTTGTTGCTTGTTCAGTGTTCATGCACTAGCAACATCTGTACCAGTGATTTGCTGTACATATACATGTCATCGGGTAAGACTTTTATTCTAATTTGCTTTATGTGTAGCCATTATACGTATATTCCTTTTCCCGGTTTTACCATGACTGCGAACAAGGATTGGCTGGCCTACGTCCTCGAGCCGCACACTCTTCTAACGGACTTGGGGCATCTTACAGATGACTACAAAGTTAGTTTGATGCGTTCCTTCCTCGCCCAGGCCGAATGTCACGACCGTCGCCTCTCCTCTGTGTCAGTCGGCGAAGAGGAGAAGCTAAATTCTGAAAACCCCTCCCCATCTTTAAACGCTATTCCTATAAATTACGACAAATCAAGGACTCTCGACTGTCTCGCAGTGGTGATTGCAGCGCACTTTCGCTTCAACGTCAACCTCTTCGCTGGCATGATCACAGAATTGCCACTTCGGCTTGCCTCGCGCCTCTATCGCATGCTTTTCCATACCCTGTTAGAGCGCAACAGTCGTGGCTCCACAGAAAGTGGCGGCGCCTGTACGACACCGTATGATTTGGGACCATGGGACAGTCTGGAACCCACTCTGGCCTTCGCGACTCTGGTCTACCATCTGTGGTGCTTGCAGGTGGCTTTCCTTTAACTTGTTGCAATTTTATTGTTCGGAACTGCTTGCAACACATGGTGAATGAGGTTGACAGAAAAGGAGCGGCAAAATGGGCAACTGGGATCATAGTGGGATAATGAAACATGTGTACTGTTGCGGCAGCGACCGAGGTGAATTCTGAATTCAGCATTAGGTGTTTCTTCTCTAGATTTTCACAGAATAGGCTTGTTAATTGTATGTAGTTAAGCTTGATTCTTATTCCCATCATAGGCTTTTTGGAGGCATTCACCTCCTTGGCAGTAATGAAAGGGTTTGTTGTACATCCAACCGCTCTACTACAAACTAGCGTTCCAATTACTCAAGAATAGATACAGAATAGAAATGGATGCTCCCGTGGTGGTTCTAAACGCGATGCTAATGGGCCAATGTGCTGCATTGCTACCCGTGGTAGTGGAGGTCAGACGCTATTCCTCCAAATGGTAGGCAACACTAGTAGTGCATGTGCACCCACAGAAAGGTGTGCTGATTAACTCAGTTTCTTGGCGTCAAAGGCATGCAGCCCGAACTGGTTGGTACTTGCTAATATCGACAAAGTACTTCGCAGTGATGGTAGTGATGTGCATTTGTTTCAAGCGCAGCTACATATCGATTGTCTGACGTTTCTAGCTGTGACAGCTTCCAGAAGTCATTTCCATGAACATTCTATAGGCGGGTCTGCTGATCAGCACGTAATTTGATGAGAATCCCTATTAGAAAAGTGGATGGTGTCGTGCTGAATACTCACGTCTTTGGGAATTTGGCTCGTGCCGTGTAACGGGATGGGCGTGCTCGACTAAAATTTATCAGCTGTACTGCCAAAGACTCGTTTCATTTGGTGTTAGAGCATAAACTCCAAAATACCAACTTGAACTCCTCCCGTATAGGTGTGGAGGATTGGTGCACGGAAGTCGGATGAAATTCAATCACCATAGTGGTAGACCTTCTTTGAGAATCTTATTCGAACGTGAGGGTAGTCGTGTTCTCATTTTAAGCCACCACCTGATAATATTCCGAACATAGGTGGCGCTATCGGATAGTATGCTGTCTCTGCCGAACCGCGATATGACACCTGCGGTGTGGGGTCTTTCGGAGGTGCCGGATCAGGCTTTCTTGCAGGACAGTCGGGCGGACCGCGAAGCTCTTCTTATGCGTCACGAGGAGTCAGCTTTGCGTGTTCACGACCTTCTGCGTCGTCTGCAAGCGAACGAGTCTGCTGTAAGCGTTGCTCGTCCCACACCAGCCTCCCTTGCCATCACCAGGACAGTCTCGGGAGGGGAGGTACCTCTTTCGGCCAATCGTCTTGTGGCCGGGACTTCATTCACTCTCGGACGCCTGGCTTTCCAACATAATCTGCTAGAAAGGGCTACAGAACTCTTTATTCTGGCACAGAAGGCCATCGCCGCTGCGAAGGTTGGTGGCCTACTTGACGTTTTTTTTTTTAAGGTCATCATATAACTGCCGTTAGCGTTTCCCTACTCCGTCAATTTCTGTGCATAACCACCATTTCGGGTTCGTCCATTCCTCTACTCATACCTGCTTAAAAATGCATGTTTTGCAGTTGTTGAAAGTAATGATAGTCTCCAAAAGAGGAATTTTCAAACAAACTTGGGATTTTGCAGTTTAGAGAAGATGAACAATTTTAAAGAATTGCAGCTCGCATTTATTCTTCCACGTGGTCCCCTATTACTATCATACACTTATTCCAATGTTCGACTAATATTTACGAAACACAATAAAGAAGGAATTGCCTGTAGGGCGAAAGCGTTCCAGGACAGTCTACCTCACCGCGTCATTCAGCCCTCTTGTTGTGGTCAGAAGCAGAGGACTCTGTTCGTACCGAGTGTGGGTAGGTTACCCTTCTGCAATCGCGAGTGATTGTGAGTAAATGTGGTCATCATTCTCGTAGGCCGACTGGTCTCGTGTGTAATCTGGTGAAATGAGAGCTAACGTGTCCATCTAACGTCCAGGACGACGTGATGGCACAGGGGTGACTGTTATGGCTGTAAGCTGGGAACGTAATCACCATGGTGCGAATAGTCACTGATAGACATCTTCAATGGATTTCTTTGAATTGATGTTGAAATGCACACGGGCGATTATTAGGTCTATGTACTGCGAATCACCACGACCGAGATCGTCACCGACAGGTGTATTTCAGTGTTTGGGGTTATAGATCGTCGACCAGTCGACTTACTGCTGCTGATCGGCTTAGCGTGACATTGTGGTTCAGTGCTTGAAGGTCTTTGTAGATATTACAAAATATCAGCCAGTTTAAGCCGGTGTTTGAAGATAATGTATGTTTTTAGCCTAACGTAGGACCGAAAATCTATTCCCTCATCTGGCAAAAATGTTGTGTTCCCTTTTCTGGCTAGTTGGAGTATATAGAAGAGGCTGGAATGACATCCCTTCTGGTGAAGAGCTACTTGACATGTTGCCAACAGCAGCAACTCCCACGCTTGCTGCCAACGCCGTCGCCTATTACAGGTCACTGGCACCTCGTTGACGTATTTTGCACCACCCTGCGTCAAAGCCTCGATGCAAATGATCCGGAATTGTTTTCTCTCCTCGCCTTTTCCATCCCTTCTCCGGTGAGGGCAAACCTGCGCGGATCATCTTCATCTTCGTCGTCATCCATGGGAGAGGTCGAAAAGGGGACAGCGTTAGTACCAACGAGATGGTGTTTTGTTGCACCAGAATAGAGCATTCTGGATTATGTGGCTTTGTCTTTTACTTGCATTTTGTTTTCTATCTGCTCAGGAAGGGCAAGTTTTTGCAGGAGGATCTAATCGCTGCTCTCGAGGTGGATATCTCGATGTCTAGATCCACCGTTCTACAACTCGGTTTTGGACTGCGACGCTACTTACAGCAGCTGATCCATGAGGCACTTGTCACTTTGACTGCCCGTTGTGCCAACTCGCCGAGGAAAGAAATCACTCATCTGAGGAGGGTCTTCCACGATTGGCGTTCCTTCTACACCAAGGTGGTTGTGAGTAATGGAATGAAGGGAATTCTCCAGTCGTCGTCAGTTCAAAGCGCTGCTTTTTGTGAGACTCTACTGTCGGTCACTGGGGTAGACGATGCACCCTCGATTGATGCGAAAGAGGCAGCAGGCATTCTCTTCACCGGTCTCGATCGTCTTCTTTGTGGAGATAGTACCGGAAAGACCGAGGTGATAAACTTCATCGGTGACTTTCTTGTCAGAATTCGATTGATGCTTTCTGGAGGAAGATCCACTGCAGCTTCACGTACTGCTATGGTCTTTGTTGATGCACTGGCAGGTTCGGCTTTGGTGAGTGTTGTGGATAGCTTTATTTCGATATGAGGTGGCTCATTCGTTGCCCACCAAAACTTGTTTAGGCTGCTATCCAGGGAGTGTAAGGATCTCAGGTTTTATAGGCCTTGCATATATTTTGTTCTTCCTGAGTTGAGTTCCTTCGATGAAAAGTATTCTGTTATTCGTCAAAAATCTGGTAATTTATGCATATAACTGGCCGGTCTATTTGGTCGTGGAGCTTTTTGAACAAGTGAAATTGTTGTTGCATAATGCAAGAAATTATCATCCTCGCACTCCTCGATTTAAAACTCTTTTAACTACTTAGATGAACTCTCTGCCCACTGATTTCCAAACTATCACCGAAGCCCTTCAAAAAGATCGAAGGTTGGACAAGCAGGCGCCCGATTACCTTTTCAATGATCTTCCAGACGTGGCAGCAGGGTGCACACTTCCGCCACCCCTTGTTGTGCCACAAGTTCACCGGGGTCACTTGTATCCCGAAACTCGAACCACCTCGCCCTTCTCCCTCCTCATCACCAGTTCCAATCCCAAGATTGTACTAAATGCCTGCACAGATCTGCTAAATACTGGGTTGTCTGTGGAAGTTATTCTTCGGTCCGGTGGGTGGGTGGATACCATCTTGCCGAGTGTAATCAAGTGGATCACTCCTTCTGACCTGCCTTCTAAACAAAGACGCGTGAGCTGCGTTCTCTCTTTTCGTGCAATTATTATAAACTCTTTTACTTTCTGCCCTTTTGTGTGTAGGATGCGTCTTCAACTGGGGGTTTGCCTCCACGTCATTTGTATGAATTCCTCGCCGTAGCGTTGGAGAATGGTCAGTGCTGCCTCCCACCACTCCTGCTACTGCTGCGTGCAATCGATTTTCGCAGGGAGCGTGGAGACTATGAGGCGGCGACAGCTTTCTGTGTGGCAGCAAATCACGTTTTGCCACCCCTTGGACAAGGAGCGCCGGGCGGTCCCACCGGAGGCGGTGGTGGGGGTGGAGCGCTTTGGCGACGCAGTCTCCCTCGCTGGATTCGTGGGATCATGGAACACGAGGCTGTGGTTGTGGACCTCTTGAAGAGTATGAATTGCAACAGTTTCTCCTTCACCTCGTCCCAATTGCGAGTTGAGGAGGCGGAATTGGTGAGTCGGTGTAAAGCCATCTTGGCCAATGATTTGGGACCGGACGCGGTGATTTCAGATGACCTCGTGTCGTGCGCTGCTTGCTACCTTCTAATCAAGGTAAGCTTATCTCTCTTCGAACACCGTTTTTGGCACTCTGTAGTCAGGAATGTTGGTACTGTTATGCTTCCAAACAAGCATAAGCTTTCTGTAGTGCTTCTTTTTCTTCAGGAACCGGCATTTTTGTCGACTCTTGGTAGCGGCCCTCCGATGCTGGAATTCATCACATGTCTCCACAAACTCTCAATGGAGAAGGAGAAATCTCCTCTTGCGGTACGCGACCTCTGCATCAACCGTCTTTCAATCTGGCTTAGACCGATCCTCGAGGTACCGTCCCCACTTCCACCACCGCCACCACCTTCCAGAATGTCGAGAGGTTAGTTCTATTTTATTTCCCTTTACTGGTACGCTCCTTCAGACCCACGACACTTAGCAACGGTCACTGGGGCAGGAGGTAGTGGCAGTCCTGCGTTGACATCAAACACTCCGATCCCTCCACCCAACACTGATCCTCTGCGGTTTCTGGTTCGACTCCTTACACAGGTGCAAGGTGATGGAGTTCATCGTCGGCTTCTCGACTGTTTCATCACCTGCTTAGCTGGATGTTTCATGAGTATCCAGCCTCTGTTTAAAACCGACACAATCGCAGAAATCTGGCTCTCTCTCCCTCCTCTCTCGGTCAGTGTGTCTGTTATAACAAGATTTGTGTAGGGTGTTGCACCACAGGCTTTAGCGGAGACATTGCAATTCGCGTTGACGTGTGGCATCAGTGCGGAGCCACGAAACGTGAAATGGCTCCTCCTTCAAGCAGACCTTCAGATGGCATCAACAAATGCGGATTCCAGAGCAGTGCTATCTCTAATTCTACAGGCAGCGGCAGTGGCGAGCGACTACTTTGCACGACCTGTACCGTCGAGTGTGTTCACTGAACGCGTAAGTAGTCGATTTGCCTGTTCCAATCATTCGCTAAAGAGTTACTTCATAATTGGTGTGAAGAGAGGATAAACGGACAATTGTAAGGGGAGGCATACTACCGCTACCGGCTTTCCACGCGGTCCCTTTACCACAACTACTCACGCATTCCAAAGTTCAACCAGTGCTCACAAAGGCTTTCAACAAAGAAGGCATTGCCATTAGACCGAGAACATTCTAAGCCGGTCCACTTTGCCTTCTCATTCAGCCCTTCTTTGTTGGCCAAAAGCAGAGGTCTCTGTCGGTAACAAGTTTGGATGGATTTAACCTTCCGGAATCGCGAATGGTTATGAATGCATGTGGTCATCATTGTCGTAGGACGACCCGTGAAATAAATGAGAGCTAACGTGTCCATCAGACGTCCAGGACGACGGATGGCTGTGGGCTGGGAACGTAACCACCATGGTGCGGATGGTCACTGATACGCATCTTCAATGGATTTCTTTGAATTGATTTTGAAATACACACGGGCGGTCATTGGGTCTGTGTACTGCGATTCACCACGACCGAGATCGTCACCGACAGGTGTATTTCAGTCTTCGGGGTAACAGACCGTACACCAGTCGACTTACTACTACTGCTCAGCTTAGCGTGACATTCTAACTCAGTGCTTGAAGGTCTTTGTAGATATTACAAAATACCAGCCTTGAAATGAGAGCCAGCTTGTCCACCGGACGTCCAGGACGACGGGACGGGACAGGCGTTTCACTTGCTGACTGAATGTTCACATGGATGATTGCTATGGCTATGGCCCGGAAATCATCACGATCGAGGTCGTCACTGACAAATGTGCTAGTCTGTGAGATAAGAGACTGTGCACCATTCGTCTTACTACTGCCGATCAGCTTCACGTGCCACCCTTGTCCAGGACCGGAGGCCTTCAAATTCGGGTTTTACGCCTCGTCGCGCGAAAACTGCGACTCTCTTCCTCAGAAGTCTGACTTCACAAGCATTATTAGTATTTTACTCTGACCTTAAGATCTACACCAGGGCTAGTACCGGGACCAGTTCAATTCGAGCGTGAAGTATTGGCTACAACAATGAGAAAAAAAGGGAGAGCGAAGAAGTCGAGGCTGAAAAACTAAGGATTATGGCAAAGGCGTAAATCTCCCATGT